TTGTGAAAAACAAAAGTGCTGTTGATAAATTTTTACGCAAACAGATTTCATTGGTGAAATAGTAGTTTATTTTTATCTTTTCATACTGGAAACTCATGTTTTTAATTTCTAATTCAAAAATATTATAATCATAATGTTACATATAAGTGTATAATATAATGTAATTAACTTTTCTTTATTTAAAAATTCACCTATCATATTATTTACATTCAGTCATTTAATATCATATCAAAATTCATTTAATTTAATAACACGTGAGATTGTAAGTTTATAATTTTACGTAGTATTTTAATTATAACAATATAATTTCCAATAATATGAAAGATTTGAAATTGATGGTTAATTTCAAATACATGATGAATGAATCTATTTAAAATTTACTTATGTTTTTCTTAATGATGATTAGATATTTTGACTTGATAAAATTTTTTACCTCATTAATTTATAATATTAAATTTTGTTATTTTAATTGTACCATAAGAGATAATATTTTTAAATTTCTTAACTTGCCTTTCTAATATATTTACATCATACTAGCAAACTTAAGAGATTATCTCAAAACCAAAGTCAATGGCATAACATTAGACATTTTTTATTCTGCATATATTCCATTGAAGCCTGATTGAATCACTAATCTTTGTAACTCAAGTACTTATAAATACACAACTTACTATCTTCGTTTAGAAAGGATGCTAAATATGTATAAGATTAAATTCACATACGGGCATGTGGTAATCCTGAATATTGCATACAGAAGAAAAGGATAAGCTTACTTGTCTCACCCCAAGCAAGAGAAGCAAAGGTTCTAAAACACACTGCTAATTAATGCTGAACATATTGAGACAGTAGTCGAGACATTTATGCATTACATTGCAAAAGCTAGGACATATTGCACACTTGACTTGATCTATATATGTAACTTCACCATAAGATGTTTACGGAACAACGTCCACACTTATTTCCAAAGCTTAACGGCTCTGTCGAAACTTGCTGAAGCAACCATTCCAGTGACAAGTGACTGTGCCAACAAAGCAAAAACTATATTCTCATGTGCTGGATTAATTGTCATGCTTTTATTCTCAGCCATGTTCCACAGTTCCAAAGACTGGAAAAGAGGCAAGGAAAGTAGAAAAATATCGACATGTTAACTAGACTAACGTGAGTCAAAAATTTTAATGCAGTAGACATTAGGGACGGAAAAATCTAGGTTAAATACCAATTTTGTTCCTCAACTTTCAGATTTGTGCCAAAATTGTCTTTAAACTTCAAAAAGTATTGAAATTGTCCCTAAACTTTAATTAATGGTATCAAAATAATTCCTGAACATTAATTTAGTACCAACTTAGACCTTGAACTTTGATTATAAGTACTAATTTAGTCATTCAATTTTGATTACATATTAATCTGATATGTAAATGGAAATATATCACGATATTAAAATATGATTATTTAATTTTGGTTAAACCTCCTTTTTGGTTCCTCAATTATTGTACGGATCCTCGATTGAGTCCCTTAACTCAAAAAATCCCTATTGTTTACCATTTTAACCTCAACTTGGTCCCTCCGTTAAAAATCGCATGACGTGTACTATTACCTAACGGAAGTATAATGATCTGTCAAAATATTAAACCTACATGGAAATACAGCATGGCAAAAAAATAATTATTTGGCAATAAAAATTTAAAAATTTCTCTTTTTTCCTCCACTTTCTCTTTCACCTTTTTGTTCCTTTCCTTGCCATCTTCGTCGATCAATTCTTCATCTTCATCTTCATCTTCATCAATCAATTCTTCATCAAACAACAAAATCCACAAAAACACATAAATATATATATTTTTTCATCAAACATCACCTTCTCCTTCCTCATCAAACATCAATTATTCATCAAACATCAATTCTTCAAAGGAACCCAGGTGCTGGGTTCAATCGAACCCAACAGGCACCCTTTCTCCTTCTTCTTCCTTGTCTTACCTTCTCCGTCAATCAATTCTTCTCATCATCAAACACAAAACCCAAACAAAAAAACAAAAAACAAAAATTTTTTTTAGTTTTTGCCTCTGGGTTCGAAAGAACCCAGGGATGGGTTCCAAGGAACCCAACGTCGAGTTCAAAGAAACCCAGGCGTCGGGTTCAAAGGAACCCAGCGCTGGGTTCGTAAGAACCTAGGATGGGTTCCAAGGAACCCAGCATCGGGTTCAAAGGAACCCCAACGCCTAGGTTCTAAGGAACCCAAGAACCCATGACCCCAATGGAAAGAGAATGGGAAGGAGAAAGGGAAAAAAAAAAAAAGAAGAAGAGTTTTTTAAGTTTTTTTTTGTCATATTAATATTTTTTTTACCATATTATTATTTTTTTCCATATCACTATTTGTTTGCCATGTTATCTTCCACGTATTTTGACATGTCATAGTGTTACCATGAATTAAATAGGACATGTCATGCGATTTTTAACGGAGGGACCAGGTCGGGGTTAAAATGGTAAACAGTAGGGACCGAGTCAAGGATTTTTTTAGTTGAGGGACTCAATCGGGGGTCCGTACAATAGTTGAGGGACCAAAAATGGGGTTTAACCTTTGATTTTATATGTCTTTAATATTTTTAAAAATAATTGATTTTGTGGCAAAATAATGACTCAAATGACACTTTCATTAATGGAAGGACTATATTTTAATATCGAAAATTAAAGTTTGAAAATAATTTTGGTATTTTTTAAAGTTTGAGAATAATTTCAATACAAGTCTGAAAGTTGAGGGACTATACTCGTATTTTAACCAAAAATCTTTGGCCAAAAGGTTTTACGAAATTGAGAAGGGAAGTCACAGAAGGGCAAGGGAATTAGAAAAATCAAACAAAATGAAGAATTTTTCTTAGGGAAATCATAAAGAGGTGGTGAGTTGGAAAGATTTTCTGAAATTTTGTGAGAAATAAAAGTTGTGAAAATCTCAATAATAGTATATTTGGGTTGAAAGGAATGAAGGAGAAAGAAAAAGAGGAGAAGATTTTTTTATCAATCAAATTATAACATTTTTAACCAATATATGATAAATATATATTGTAATTTTTTTCCTCCTCTCCCCTTAATTCTCCTCAATCTAAATATATAATAAATTGTAATTAAAATAAGGGTAGAATAGTTATTTGAATAAAAAAAGTGTAGTAGTAATGCCCTCCATTCATTTTTAAATGTCCCATTCTAGTGTAAACAACATTATTATCCTATTAAATTTCATTGTTACCCTTACCATATACTTGGGTTGAATAGAGGGGAGGAAAAGGGAAGAAAAGATCTTTTAACCAATCAAATTATAACATTTTAAAAACGTTATAATTTAATTGATTATAAAACTTTGTCCTTCCCTTATGTTCCCTTCTCTCCCCTCCCCTTCATTCCCCTTAACTTAAACATACCATTATAGGTTTTAACAAACAAAAAACCAACTAAAAGCAGTAATAGGTGCATTAGAATATTGGAATATAGGTAATAGGTGTAATAAAAAATTTCGCTTAAAACAATTATGTAATTCAAGTAAAATTGAACCGATAATTTTAAGGACAGGCAAAAAGTAAAGACACCATGTGTGAAAACAACTAGAAGTGGAAGGTGGCAATAATTTATATCACATTTTTTTTTAATGAATTTTGGCATTTTAAACTAATATCATTAAGGGAGAAAAGGTATAAACAAAGATATAAATTTTATATTTTTTTATTTTTGTTTAAGTATATTAGCTTTATTAATTTTTAAATAAAAATGTCAATTTTTAATTTTTTATTAAAAAAATCAACTTTCAACCTTTTCTATTTAAAAATATTAATTTTCAATTTTTTTTATTTATTTAAGGTTTAATTAGGTAGTGATGCTAACCTAACAAATACACTTTTTGAAAAGAAATTAATATCCTCAAATAAAAAAAAATTAAAAATTGATATTATTAAATAAAAAAATTAAAAATTGATATATTTAAATAGAAAAAGTTAAAAGTTAATATACTTATTTAAAAACTAACAAAATTAACATTTTAAAATAAAAAATACAGAATTTCCATCCTTATTTATACCTTTTTCTTATCATTGAAGATTATACATCAACTAAATTAAAGTTGGAGATTATTTTCCTCGTACTTTCACTTTGATTTCTTTTAGTTTTTTTAATTTTTGTTCATTTTTGTTTCTGTAAATCCTCAAATCTCTTCGCCTTGCACAGTTATCAGCAATCTCTTACCCAAACCCATCTTTTAATCAACGATGATAATTACCTTAGTCCTAAAAAAAATTTATTATACTAAAGTAAGTAATCATCATTCCAGACTATTAGTGAATAGTGATATTCAATTTGATACCAAAAATATCACACTCATTGCATCTAAATACAATGACTTCAAACTGAGAAAGTGTTTAGTTTAAATACAGTAGCCAAATAGTTTCAAATGAGTGTAATTGTTATGGACACAAGTGAGATTTTTAAGGCCACAAGTATTTTATTTTTCATTTTGGTAAATTAATTTTTTTGTAAATGTCTTTTAATTTGTCCTTATACCTTTGTCATTTATAAAAATGGATAAAAAAAGGTTAAATTTTTAATTTGATCCCTGAATTATTAAACAAATTTTTAATTTGATCCTTAAATTAAAAAAATCCTTGATTTAATCCATGAATTATTGTACAGACTCTGAATTTGGTCCTTACTGTTTACCAGTTTGCCCTAAATTGATTATTCTGTACAAAAAACAGTTGATGTGTCTCGATATTAATGTGACACGTGATCGTTAAATAATTATTTTTCACTATTAAATAACGTACACGTCTGTTATTTTTTATATAGAATGATCAATTTAGATA